TTCTCGTGATTGTGAGAAAAATGTCCAAATTGGAGATAAAAACTCTCAATTTATTTATTTATTTTTACTATGTGACCAAAACAAGCTTCCATAGTATACTATACAAACATTTGCATTATATTTAGCAATATACTTCTTTCCAGAGCTGTGGGCACTTGAATAAATTTACTAAGGTAAATGTAATGGTCTGTGACACAAGCTGCTTTACTTGCAGTTGATTAAACAATTACATCAGAGATACAATTTTTGTTCATTGTTGTTTATTTCGTTTTATAGTATAACTTGTAGTAAAGATAAAGAGATGTACATTGTGAATTATACGATCTCCAGCTGAAGTGCCCATGAGCTCCTCTAGAGGGACTCCATCCCAGACCTTTGCCACTATATCCAGGACTCCATTTCCCATAACACCCTCTGCCTAGGAACTGATTGCATGCACACCTGTTTCTTGTCAGTAGGACTATTTCAGCAACAGACAAACACACTCACATTGGGAAGTCTTGTTTAGCTGTTTGCAGACATTACTGGGTGTTTTCCATGTTTGCCTTGTTTTTAGCCTTGTCTTGTTTATACCTTGCCTTAACTGTGTTTTGGACTTTGGACTGTTTTATTGTTTTTGTGATGGTTTGCTGCCTGCCCTGACCATTGCCTGTTTTTGGATTACTCTTTGTCACGCCTCGGATACTGTTGTTTGCTGGTGTTGGACCCTGCCTGTTTTGACCAAGATCTGTTTTAATAAAAGTTTGCATTTGGATCTCCATTGTGATGCCCATCTGTTACAATTACAGTAAAGCTTTCTCACTGTCACACATGATTAAACTAAACATTTTGTTTGAATTGTGATAACATTGACATAATTGGAAAGCTGATACTTTATCAAAAGTATCAAAACGCAACTTTTGAGGATTTATTGGATGGGAGGCGCGATAAAGTTAATTTTGTTTACTTATCTCGTACTTAGGATTTACAAATCAAGATCATTAGAATCAAGATTGCGATTAACCACAAAATCTATATTTTTGCTCAGCCCTAGACTCAATTAATGTGCATGTTAGCCACATGTTTGCGCTCTGATTTTACAGTAGTAACTAGTCAAACTAGTAATGTGACCTCCATCCCTGTAACCACACGACCTGGAGTGACCAGTGCAACTACCACTCAAACTCCTCTCCGTGAGTGTTTCCTTCATGTATGTGTACAATAAATCACATTGTATTCAGTGTCACATAACCCACATGAAATCATCCTAATATGCTGATTTGCTGCTCAAGAAACATTTCTGATTATTATCTGTGATAAACTGTGATTTGATGAATATATATTTTCTGGTATTTGTGTGACGTAACATTTCCTGTTTCACTGTAGTGATGTTTTTCTGACAGGTGGAAGTTGTGTGAGTCCAGATCTGTGCTGCTCTGGATATAACAGCAGCTGTCACCACTTGAATCGTTTTTGTGATGTTGCTTGTCTGAGATTAAATGACTGCTGCCCTGATTTCAAACCCACCTGCCTCACAGGTATTCAGAAATATTCAGGAGTGACACAAGTTGCAGTTATCAGATTGTGTTCTACTCTGTACTACATGATTAATGTACTTTAATGTGATCAAGTGCTCTTTGAGAGAGAGAAAAAATTGTGCACATATACTAAGAAACTTATTAATCTTCCCCTCTTTCCCTTTTATAGTAAATAACAGCACACAACCAAACAACACTGCCACTAACAGGTTTGTTTTATACTTGCTATTTTCTATAATTATTCTATATCACGTGAGTCTGTATTATTATTTTGAGTTCTCTAGATCTTTAAATCTGCATTAGATGTCAAATGTTGCATGGATGTCTTGGTAACTGAAAATTACAATAATTAAAAAATTATTCATGAGATTGTTAGCAGCATCTGCATTTGCAGTCTTATTTTCAGTCATTATCAGTGAGTGTTTCCACCACATTTCACTAAATCATTTATTTTTGGGGATCAAACTTTGCAAACTTTTACAAAATTTGCCAGTAAATGAATGATAAATGTTAGGTGATTATGTTCACTACCTGTTTAGTGATGTACGTTTATGCTGAAAAATAATTAAATAATGGTTGGTTGGTTTAAAACATCTATTGCATCTCTTGCATGTTTTGTCCTTCAAAATTTCTGTAAAAGGAACATACAGAGCATCAATGTTCCCTGGTTTTCACTATGCACTGTGGGACTTTTTAAGGAGGGAACATTTCAGTGGACTGCAATATGGCAAGCCGTTTAACATTTAATCCTTAAAATGCACTACTTTTTAAACTAAAAATAAAGGTGCTTCACGATGCCATAGAATAACCTTTTTGTCTAAACGGTTCCATAAAGAACCTTTAACACCTGAAGAACCTTTCTATTTCACAAAAGGTTCTTTGTGGCAAAAGAAGGTTCTTCAGATTACAAAAAGGTAAGAAAGAGATGGTTCTTTAAAGAACCTTTGACTGAATGGTTCTTTTTGGAACCAAAAATGGTTCTTCTATGGCATCGCTTGAAGAACCTTTTGAAGCAACTTTATTTTTAAGCGTGTACTAGTATCTATTTCATTAGGTACTAGTACTTATTCATTAGACACTAGTGCTACTAGTGTGTATTCTTTAGGTATTAGTACCTTTTTACAAGATACTTATTCATTAGATGCCATTCTGTCCTTCGTTGTTACATGCACTGCAGTCAGAATCACTGTAATCAATTTTGCTTTTATTGCCAGATGATTCCTGAATCCTCTCAGATAAAACATGCATTGCATCTGTGACCTTCTCTACAGTTTTCAGTAGCACAACTGCAGCTCCACCCAAAGGTAATTAGCGCCCGAGCATTGATGGTGCTCCTCCGTTTATTCATTGTATGTGTGTATATAAATGTGTAGGTCACGTTTTACCATTACTGTTGCAACTGATGGGCAGAGAAACCTGAAATCACTAATATGTGTTTTGTTATTTTGCATATTTTCTCACAGTACTCACTGTTCTGGAGGTGAAGGTGAAGACGTTGTTGACTGAAGAAGAGCGTCAGGCTGCACTGCTTCAGGTGAAAGGAGCGTTTCTGACTGTTTTATTGTGCCCAGTTCACATACTTGCACGACATGCTAAACGTGCTTAGTTTTAGGTATGTAAAAGAAAGGATACCAGTACTATAAAAGAAATCACTAGCATCAAGCCTCAGCCTCACAGTCGTTGTACAATCGAGTTGATAGTGAACAGGTGGGGCGTCACAAATCTTTTAGTTTCTATTGGCTGAAATAACTTTTTTAGGGTGTCTATTCTGTGCCTGATCAGAAATCCTCCATTATTGCTTCTTGTTCTGAACCATAAAAATAAATATTCTGTGTGAATTGGGGTGTCCCAAGCTTTATAGTGCTCTTCTTCTTCTGAAACTGCTGTTTTCTCACTTCCTGTCATCTTTTTCTCCCCCTCAGGTTGGCACTGTGCTGGAGAAGTTGTTAAGAGAGAATAATACTGACATCTACTCTTTTAAAGTCTCGAAAATTCAACGGGTATCACAATAGGATCGAGTCAGAAATCAGAGAGAGGAACAGACATGAATAAGTGCATGAATAAAACTTTTACTATTTTATGTATGTTGATGGTTCAACAAAAATGCGTGTTTCTGTGTATGTGTGAACTAAACTAAGAATGTGTAAGGAAACCCCAGATTTATTGCTAATATGCTCTAATGTAGTTCTTCTGTGGAAGGGAATCTGCTGCTGCTGCTGTTTTAACATTGTCTTCATTTCTCTGTTTTTGAGATTTGTGTATGATGATCGCACTGAAATGATGAGGAAGAGCTCTTATGAACCCAAACAGAAAACAAACACAAGCAAACAACTAAAACTGTCATTCTGTTGGGTTTTGTGATCGTCAGTGCTCAGTGTGTTTGCTGCAGTTTGTTCAGTAAATGTTGCATGAATGATTTCTCTTAGCACTGAGCAACAGTTTCTGAGTTTTTCTGGGAAACATGGAGACCAATTACCAGATTTTGTCAGAGTTTGGCCTCCATTGTCCTCTGAAACCCATTCAACTATGAGAAGAGAATCTTATTTTAGACCGGACTGCTTCATCAGGACCAGACACCAGTGTGAGACGGCTTCATAAAATAATGTCGTCACTCGATTTTTAATCACCCACGGTTTCAATTAGTTCTGACTTTTTAGGACATTCTCCCAGACTTACAGAGCATGCTTTCGTTTAAAAGGGTGGTTGACTGTTGTTTTCTAGGCTTGATTGTGTTTATGAGGTGCAGTCTAACATGTGTTAATGCTTCGTTTGTTAAAAAACGCATTATTTTTCACATAATTGACTTTTATTCCACACCTCTCTGTCCTTTCTCCTCTGAACGCGCTGATCATTTCCTGCTTTTATGAAGCCCCTCCCTCTGAAATACACGATGAAGCTGATGATCTGAATGAGAGCGAGAGAGAGAGAGATGCGGAGCGTGTGCAGAGCAGGGTGAGGCCAGGAACAGGATGAGAACGCTGCTTTAGAGGTATGTGAAAATAAGTGTTTTCACTGAGCTGATGATCTGAATGAGAGCGAGAGAGAGAGAGATGCGGAGCGTGTGCAGAGCAGGGCGAGGCCAGGAACAGGATGAGAACGCTGCTTTAGAGCATTGATTTTGAAACTTGTGAATCCTTTAGAATCGTTAGAAGACTGAATCGTGATTCATATATGAATAGATTTTTACATGCACCCCTAGTTTTCTCTTCCTCTTCTCTGAAGCAGTGCAGCATGGCCCCGCCCCCTTTGCTGCGTGTTCCCGGAGGCGGGGTTTATGTAAAATTCTGGGTTCTTGAGTAACGGACCCGGGAAGTAACTCGCTGTAGTCCCTTACCAGCAGTTTTTGTAGGCATTAAACTGACAGAATTTTAAAAGATGATATCTCCGTTTGCGTTGAACTTTCAGCTTCATAACTTTGCAGATATTGTTTATGATCAAACAGCAACATTACACACTAACTAACATTAAAAATTAAAATTTCCTTTAAGGAAATAAACACAAGGAAATTAGCTTTTGCTGCAAGACTCCTGAAATGACTTTTATTTTGTAACTCTCTCTCTGTTTTTCCTGAAATCACTCACCCGTTATCCAGTTTGACTAAATAGGCCGTGCGAATTCACAAAACACTTGCTGAAAAAAAAGAATCGGAAGTATTTTTCATACAGAAGACAAGCAACAGTTTCCATTTCACGATTTATAAAAAGTCGTGCAAAAATAATTACCGTATAAAAACAAACAACAATAATTTAGCACTAGCTGCTAAAGTGTATAAAAGATGTTAAATATTAACTTACTATGCATCCCAACATCTAAAGTCCGTAATAATATTAGATCTGGGTTGCCAAAGACATTTTGCAATCAAACAAGTCGTATTAAATACAGTCAAATGAATGTGTTTGGATCAACGCAGCAACACTGACCACCTAAATGAACGTCCCTCTGACCCAGCAGATGTTTAGTTTTAAAAATAACTATGATTTAACATCATGACAAGCATTAATAAGCATCACATAACATTCAAAAGTGCCATCAGTCACTCGCTCACATCTTCACTATTTAAAAGCAAAGCAGAAGTGTCTCTAAATCCATTATCATTTTAAAACATGAAGTACTTTTAAAAGATCTTGTGCATGAGAGTTTGCACTTTTGCACCCTTTCTCATGTTGAAGGGTGAAAACTGAAGGCCACGTTGTGTGTTGTATATTAAAAACGGTCCTTGTCCTGTGTGCAACATGACCTGCAATGACTGACTCACAGCATCAGTCTCGCATTCCCACGTCTCCTCCTTAAATGCCACTCAAACCCACAGAAGGTCAAATGTAGAGTCCAGTAGGCGTGAAGCTCAGTGAATGCGAGCCGTTTTCCCCATCACCTTACTTTCCGTACCCGACAGTAGCTGTATTTTGTGTGAATGATGTTCGTTCGTGTCTCAGTTCGCTCTCATCTTGCTGGAGATCCAGTTTGTGTAGTTTGTGACACGCGTGTAAACACCAGGCGTGTCTTTCTTGCCGCAGCCGTCGCCCCAGCTGATCAAACCCATCAGAGTCATCCTGCCGTTTTTGGGACACACCAGAGGGCCGCCGGAATCCCCCTGAAGAACGAGCAGGAGAAACCGATCAATAAAGATGCAGAAATCACTCATGTAATGCAAACAGAGAGGCTGAATGTGTTGTCACCTTGCAGGCGTCGTCCAGGCCGCGTGTGTCTCCGGCGCACAGCATGTTTGGAGTGACCAGACGGCCTGACAGCTTCTCTGGGACACACTGTTCCTGCGGCCACAAGCGCACCAGACCGCGCTTAATTCGCTCCGAGTAAAACGGAGAAACTGAGAGAGACAACGACAGAAGACAGAGTCAAATTATCATTCAGTCCCTCAGTGACTTTTTTGGACTATCAAGAAGCACTGCAAAAAAAAAAAATAATAATAAAACATTCTTAATTAGTCTTTTTGTCTTGTTTTTCTGTTAAATATCTAAAATATCTTAAGGTTAAGAGGCTGTACTTTATTGTCCCAGAGGGAAATTTGTCTCGCGCTCAAAATACAGCCACTGCATCACAACACTTAAAAACAGTGCACTGCACAATAAAAACAGACACACATTAGTCTCTGACTCACTTAAATATCTATATTTAACAACGCCCTTAAATATCTTGCTGCAATGGCAAATTGTTAACTTTTAAAAAAAATAATAATAATTCTGTTTTACTGCACTGACAAATTTTTCACTTTTTAAAAAAAATATTTTTTTTTTTTACTGCACTGGCAGATGCTTTCACTTATTTTTATTTTTTATCTTATTTTTAACAATTTTACTGCACTGGCAGATGCTTTTACTTATTTTAATTAAAAAACTTTTTTTTTTACTGCACTGGCAGATGATTTCACTTATTTTTATTTTTTATCTTATTTTAAATTTTTTACTGCACTGGCAGATGCTTTTACTTATTTTAATTTTAAAAAAAAATTTTTTTT